GTGAGAACTATTATCCCCGATGCATACACAAAACTGATTCAGGCATTACCATTTAAATTGACATAGAGAGAGAGAAGAGAGGAGAGAAGAGAGGCTTAAAGGAGGCTGCTGCAGAGCACTAGCTGAGCAGAAAGATAAGCAAGAGGGGAAGAATGAAGTAGCTCTCATAACCTCCTAAAAAGTTGCAGAACTAGGACTCCAGAGGCTCCAAGGCTCTAAGTAAAACAGAGTGAAAAGCTACCCTCTACCATGCCCATGGGTTTATAAGGATGCCCTTCAGGTACATGCACCCAACAGCTGTCATGGCACCTCTGGGGCAAAGCCCTCCACAGGAGGTGCAATTAGAGCAGCAGCACACCAAGGGGAAAATGGAGGTGTTGGTGTCAGCAGCATGAAAGGGGTGCAAGAGCAAGCTGCCCAGAACTCCTCCCCTGGACAAGAAGGGAAAACGAATTACTGCCAAACAAGGCGGCAGGAGGCAGATGTGTCCAGGGAACAGAGGTCAGGCCAGCCAGGGGCTTGCCAAAAGACGAACTGCCCACCAACAGCAGGAGACAGGGACACTGCAGTCCTGGCAAGGCAGGGAGAGCGGGGATGCCATTAGGAGAAGGCAGGGCTTGCCCCAATCAGTGGGGTGCAGCACAGAAATCCCTACACATGGGCTCGCTTGAGCTGTTACAGCCTCATGGATCTTGGTGCTGAAAAAAGGATAGACAGTATATGCAGAGAGCCAGTTTTCAGTGGTACTACCTATGTCGACTTTTGTCTTTTTTTCTGGAGATCATCCGACCATCCCTGTTTTGATGAAATGCTTATAGGAGCCCATACAGAGTTGCTAAATGATTCATTCCTATCACTTCAAGCACTAAGTACAACTGCAAATCAGGTGCGATCTCACCTGTTACTAAATGCAGCATTTCTGCATAGGGCAGACATAGCCCTATGGGTTACTAACAGACAGTGTGCTGGCTGTTCTGATGGGAGGTTGTCAACTTTCCCTTCTCCAGGAAAAGAGAAGGTGAAGAAAATCTTTTACTATTAGAACAATGGATAGGGTTAAAAGCTAACAGAACAGCTTAGGAAAAGAATAATTTAATGCATGTAGTTAATTAAACCACTTAATTGAAGAATTACTGGATATATGGGGAAAGTAATAGACATCTGTACTGAATAATACAAGATTAGAAGCAGTGATTTTTTATTTTAAATCATTAAAGTAATATTCATATCAAAACTAGTGAAAAGGCAATGGACCTATTTGCTGCTGAGTTTTGGTAATATTAGCATTTAAAAAATAAGCGTACTCATTATGTAAGTGGAAAACTAGGGAATAATCCATTAAGGGTAGTCCTAGGACAATGGGAAGATTTGACTTAGAAGGAAGAGCTGTTCAGGAAGTTTTGCTTCAAATGAATTTTTGAGGAAGAAAAAAAGCCTGGAAAAAATGGCAAAAAAACCTGAGTGGTTTTAAGATTGGCCTTTGTAAACTTAGGGAAGGGGATGTAAGATGTAGTGATCTGCAAGAGGCAGAAATAACCAGGGTCACCTGCAGTATTACAGTCTATGCCCTTTTTGTCTGAGGAGTCTTAGCTTGATGGCTTGATAGCAAGAGGGAAATGGTGGAGAGGGAAGAGTATAACTGTCTTATTTTTAAAAAATGAAAATTTAAAGCACTTGAAAAACTTTCAGAAAGAAAAGGAAGCAATTTAGCATTGTTGAAGTTTTGCACAGTAAGTTTGAAAGTGGATCACAAGGCATAATCTCTAGGGAACTTGGCTAAGGTGTGACTTGAAAGGTCAAAGTTATTGAAGGCGAGGTATCTCTCTAAAAGGTCTTTTCCACTGAAACTATATTCACCTCTATTTCAAGGCAAAATGTTGTGAAGTCAGCATGAGCAAATTAATCACGATAATTGCATAATAAACACAAATGAGAAAAAGAACAGCATAGTAACAGGGGAGAGTTTTTTCTCTCTGAAGTCACCACCAATGCTTTGGCTTTTTACTAACATAATGTTACATAAGAGGCTGATCGAAATAAAAAATGGAGATAGTCAGACTAAAACAATAACAGAGAGGAATTTGGTACCATTTCAAAGGCTTGATCTCAATGAATGGGTTTGTGCCTCACAAGATTTTCCAGGAAGTCAGTCCTGTGGCTCCCCCATCCACCCTGTGCACTCTGGTGTTGCTGGTTAGTTTTGAGACTTTTAAATAGAAAATTTCAGATTAGTTTCTGTGTTTCATTGCTCTGTGTGCTCTCTGTTATGAAGAGAGGGATTACCATATTTTCCTCTTTTTCATACTTCCCATCAAACAGATGTCATTACAAAATACTGATGAATTCTGCTTAATTGGTGCCCTTCAAACTAATTACATCTACTTACCTCTCACGATTAATTGGCTTTGGTGCTCCACAGCTGCTGCATCATTTCTAGCTATACAGGTATAATTCCCATTGTGCATCAGGGAAAGATTAGAAATCCTTAAGGAGCTGGTGAAGTCAATGTTGTCAATCGTCACCCCGAGGCTGGCTGGGATTGGCCTGCCGTCCTTCTGCCAGGTGATTGTGATGGGCAAATCCCCGGAGACCACCACGCAGGGAATGAAGACCCGCTGCCCGATGGAGAACCGCGGGAACTCAAAAGGCTGAATAAAAGGCGGAACTGAAACAAAAGAGGAAAGAGGAGCTATTGCAGTTACAGTTGCATTTCTGAAAATAACATAATGGAACAGATGTGCAGTGCTGAATACACAAAATCAACACCTTCAACAGACATAGAGCATTGTTGAGCTAAAAAAATCACATCTTTTGCAAATAGCTTTTTCTTTCCTTGACTACCCAAAGCATAAGCAGAGATCACAAGCAGTGAAATCCACCGGACACCACTGGCAGATTCCTGCAAGAGTATTGAGCACCTCTTCAAGAAATCACACTGCTACCTCGTGACTCACCAGGACTTTCTTTCAGCAGCAGGATTGCCTGGACAGTCCAGGAAGAGCTCAGCAGCTTTTAGGATCAAGTGCTAGAGCCTTGCTGTGGGTCACACAATAAACCTGGAAGAGGCTCCAGCTTTGTCTCTGGGACATGATGAAAGGGAAGCTTCTCAAACTACTCCTCGCACTTATTTCTTAGTGTTTCAAGTCACAATTCCCAATAAGGTTGGGTAGAGGTATGAAGTGAAAGGCATATACAGTACTTGTAGGACAGCCAACTAAGTTAAAACTGATTTCTAAACAGAAGACCAGTACAAGGCATTTAATTCCTGCTACGCATATTTTGCTTGGCAAATCTTTTTTTCTTTCTTTTCTTTTTTTACTTATTATTCTGTGGCTGAACCAAAAATCATGAAAGAAATGCTCTCATTTTCTATCATAGAGAAGAATTCCACTTCTTAGAAAACATTTTGTTTTCAGGTATTTTTAATAAAAACAAAGGAAACAGTGGGTTGGATTCAATAAACAAAGCGGGAATTAATGGGGCTGCCTCACTTTCTCTGGGTTGTTGTTGGCACATTTACTAACAATTTGGCAAATTGAGACTCAGATACCTACCCAGACGAAGGAACGGAAATCTCCTCCCCTTCTCAGGGGAGCACTCTAACAGCCAGGGCATTTATCTAAGCTAGGTTTCTATCTATCACTCCTGAAAAGACTATAAAACCAACTTTGCAAGCAGTGCTCGAATACTCATTTATCAAAAGAGAAAGTTCCTAGAGGTTATGTACCTTAAATGTAGGAGTGCATTTTCCTATTCTTGCCTGAGAGGTTACTTATATATACTCTGTAGTACATTTGAACATCTTTAACAGGAAAGACTGAAGGATACCCACAGCAGAACATTTATACTGTTATACATTAGCTAGCTTCAGAAGAAAATGGAGATGGTGGCTTTATCTAAATGTATTTCTTTTGTCCTTTCTCCCTTTAGCAAATCTAAGGCCGTGTTTTCCCCAGAACTGAAGCAAGAAAGAAGCAGAAAACCTCTTCAGAGTGGCTGCAATGTGTACCAGCCCATTGACTTCCCCAGCAGCATTTTTGCCAGTGTCCTATTTCTGGGATGCAGAGATATAAGTATTTGTGACCATTCCTACAGTAGTTCACTGCATTTCTTTAGATCATTGCATATGTTTGCTGCTCTTTCATCAGGAGTGAGAAAGTTTATCATTAAGGAAGTGATACCAAACCCCTCAAAGGGCAAAGGTGTTGTTCAAAGGCATGTTCAAATGCATATCACGGTGCACAAATCAGACATTAATTCCGCTGTTTCTGGTATAGCCGTGATGCTGTTTGATGAGGAGAAGTTGTGACCATGCACAGCTGCCACAGAGAGGTAACATCAGGCGCAGGGTACCACAACTCATCCTTACAGGCTTTCCCTGACTTCTTCCAAGAGCAGCTCGGTGTCTGCAGTTGTGAGAAGTGCCGCTGCAATCAGTTTTTCTCACACACTGTAATGCCTTTTCCTGACTGCCATCTCTCAAATTGCTAAAACCTGTCCTGTTGTGTTTTGAAAATCTGGTAGATCAGGCATACAGAAAAAAGAAACTCAGTATAAATTACTGTGTTTATTTGAACTTTGAGTGTTGGAAATTAACTGCTTTTTCACTTGGGGATGCACTGTCACAAAGTGAGGCAAAATGTCTGCTTGCCTCTTCTAACCACCTTAGCGCAGCTAATGCATTCACATGAGATATTTCAGATTCTTTGTACATCAGCAGAAAAAGGCCAAATTTCTTGTAGCATTTATTGACAAGCAATTTATAATATAAGTGGGAATGAGAAATTTTTAGAATGAGACTGTCAAAAGGTTTTGACATAACCTTTCCCCTTGATGAGTGCAAATATCTGCTAAATGCCAAGTGCCCCTTTACTGTATTGGCTAGCACATTTCTGCCCAAACCCTTCTCTTAGTCTCAGGCATCATTACTGAAAGATATGCTAAAATTCACAACAGGGTGGCAAATTGCTTCTGTATTTTCTGCTGAGTGTGTAACAAATTTGAACCAATCTTTCATGGACAAAATGATATCAAAAGTCAGACAACATATTGCTCAAGGATTATTATGTGCATCTTCACTCTCCATCTCCCTGATGAAGAAACAGGGAGCAAGATCATTAGGTCACATTGAAGTATTTTTCAGAAAATATTGATTTGCAAGGCTGCATTTACCAACTCTAAAATTTAAGTAGCAGCCTGCAGAGCATTTCAGAAATTGGCTGAAATATTTATAGACAGCATATTTTCCCTCTACTCAGGTTTTTAAGATACAGAGGAAACCAACATTTATTTCTGCTTCATAAAATATAATGTATATTCAACCTGCAGCAGCTTGCAGTCCTGACAAGGAGCTTATTTTAAAAACCAGTGTGTAATTTAAAACCAGTACTTAAAAAAAGTAAATAGTCTAGCGATAACTTTGAAGTATTGAAGAACGTTTTTCAGCTACAGTATTTACCAGTTTGGGCTGATAAATGCAGTTCCTGGTGACCTAACATAGCAGATACATTTTCTTCCTGCTAGTTTGAAGAAGGAAACAATCACAAAAAATCACTTATTAAAAACACAGAATAACACATACCTGAAGTCAGGCAAATAATTTCTCAAATACAAATGGTACCATATATATATCTCTACATGTCTGCAGTAAATAGTTGACATATATCCCTGACAGAAGAAAATAGCAAGCTTGATTAACTAGTATGTGGGTTATTTTTTTGGTAAACTAAAGCTGTATCATTGCCAAACAGCACTAAAAAACTAAGAGGGATGTGTACTACTAACTCTGAGAGAGAAAAGTTACAGTAGGGCAGATGTATTTAAAATACTTCAAGGTATGTTGAAGTATTTTCCCTCCCTATATGTAGCTTTAGTTTGACCATGTTTCAGAGCTTGTATTTGACTTTTTTGTTAAATTATGCTATTTTATATATGTTACATGTTAACTACATAGAGAGAGGGTTGTGCGTGTATGTGTGCTTGTGTACATGGAAGGGATGTTTCTTCCTCTACCCACAATGGGAAAAAGAGTGAAAATCTCTGCTTCATGCAATGAAGTGCAATGTCTCGGGAATGCTTTATTGATGAGTGCTTGAATGAAGTGTCTATTTAAGAAGAGGAGCATGGGCCAGCCTCATTAGTGCTAAAGCAGGAAGATTTAAATTATGGTTTTTGTGCCCTAGCAAGGTCTTCTGTACCTCTGGGAGATTACTGCAAAGGAGGGCAAGGAGGGCTTCCGTGCTGCTCTCCATTAACAGAGGAACATCCTTAATTTCTTGCCCTCCATTCAATGGGAGTTATGTTGGAAGAAACTGGTGAGATGATCCACTAAAACAGAGTATCCTGCAGGTAGCCTGTCTCCTGCAGCAGCCTTGTGAACATGTTGTTCCTCTCCTGTGGCTCTGCATAGTAAAATGAAAGTCACCCTCTGCTTTATCATTAGAAACAGTCCCCTGATGGATTTTCTTGCAAGAACGCTGTTGCAGGAGTTGTGCCCACAGTATAAAATACCTTTGGCAATGAATACTCACAACACAGGTCCATTGGCTGATGCAAAGTAATAACCACAAAACTACATAGCCTCTTAAGGCAGCCGTGCGACCCTAGATTTCATGCACAGGGAGTGCAAAAGCCAAAACTGGTTTGTCTCTGCACAAACCCCAGCTACAGTCTAATAATTTGTAAGTTTTCTCAGCCATCGATTGTTTCTCCTAAACAGCTCCATCCCTTGTGGGTGATGGACTGAGCAATTGCACAGTCACTGAAGCACTGGATTTTTCTGCTTCTTACTTGCATGTATTGAGTCTTACCAGTAGGGCATGTTATTCATCGAACTCTCCATTAATGGCATTTACTGAGCCAAGCCTCATACCCTCCTCCCTTGTTGTGTGCTAACATGTCCTGTCTTGAAAACAGGGAATACTGTTCTTTGGGCCTTTCTAAGTATATGGATTGGGGGGGAAGAGAAAAAAAAAAAAAAGAACCAAACTAATCCCTGTAATGCCTCTGCTGTTGCACAACATTTCCCTCTACTTATAGGTTCATTAGTTACCAAAATTAGCCCTGTATTCAAATATTTTCAAAATCTCACCACAATAAGCTGTGGTATTTTATCAGGAACTGTCGCTGAGTGTGGCAGAGCAATTGCTATGGTGTGTATTTCCCAGGGGAGCTTACGAGAGAGATTTCACCCTTCGCCTTAGTCCCCACTTCCCTTTCCTGCAATGCTACACTGGTAGCTCACAGGTTCCCTGATGCTGTTCTGAGAGCTCCTCCAAAATAAGAGAGGATGTAAAATATTGTGTAGAAATCAAGAGTACTTTTATGTCATGTTTCATCCATCTATTGAACCACGTCCTTTCAGCCTCCACTGTGAGGGGAAAAGTGCATGCCCTTATCACATGAAGCACCCTCCAAATCTAAGATGGTGGGAAGCTCAGTTCCCTGCCCAAGGGGATGCATTTGCTGTTTATTTTTTTAAAAGAGAAAATCTTCTTGATTTGAAGATCAGACAGCAGCTGCAAGAGTATATTAATGCAACAAGCAGTTACCTTTAATGTTGAAGTGCCGCCTGATAAAAAGCCTTACTTGTAGGTTACGTATCCAGAAGTGCTTACTAGTTGTTTTTACTATGCTTTTGGAACCTGGTCCAGAGCTATTGCCTTT